TCTCTCTCTCTCTCTCTCTCTCTCTCTCTCTCTCTCTCTCTCTCTCTCTCTTACGTTTCCTATTTCGTTTCGTCTTTCTTAATCCCCTACCGAAGAGCACAATATACATAGTCCTTCCCCCCTCTTTCCGTCCGCACTCTCTCTCTCTCTCTGTCTCTCTCTGTCTCTCTTTCTATCTCTCTATCTATCTATCTCTCTCTCTCTCTGTCTGTCTCCCTCTCCCCTTCCTCCCATCTCCTTTCTATGTCATTTTAGCTTTGGACCAGTTCAGAGAATGTGATACCCTTCGACATCATTATCACCACAACACGAAGAAATGTCGGCACATTTAAAAGTCATAAAAGTTCAATCTTTTAAAGAGTCATCGACCTACAAAGGTGGTAGTGATTTCGTATATTTATAGTAAAGTCCGTTGATAAGATATTACATTTTTACAGTCCATGGAAAGCCCTATAAAGTTTACTTACTGGCTTTACGAGTATAATAAATAGGATCAAGGAGATATTGATAGTTAATTAAGTAATTTTAAAATCTACAAGATTTTTAAAGGGCGCGTCACACCCCTAATCTTCAGCACTTATGTAACTTAATTATATTGTAAGTGACGTACTGCTCTAACTAAAACTAAAGCCTGAACTACGATTCCATCGTTTTTGTAACAATATTCTCCCCTCCTCGCGGCAATCCTTATATCGCAAAGCCAAAGGCAACAGCTAGGCTTATATTAATGCACGTGGATTTTTTAGGACACTTTTCTAAAGAGTAAACGGCCTTGCAGTATACGTCTTCTATCTTCTGAAAGGTTTACGAGTCAATAGAACTGGGGTTGTCACAGAATTGATCCCAAGGTAACACTCTAACGTTAGCGATCCTTGCAAGCAAAGAAAAGTAATGTAGGTATAACAGACCCTTAGAAAGGACGTGTGTATATATATGTGTGTGTGGGGGGGGGGGGGGGTCTATGAAAGTCTTGAGATCGGGACTTATATTGAGAGTTGAGAGATCTGCGAAAAGACGTGAGAAACCCAGGAGTGAAGTGGGGATATAATAATATACGTCCTGGGTGGCACATATCACACCGCGCCACGTGACATTATGACGTGCACAGTGATGGTTTCTTTCTTTACCACTAGTTGGGTTTTCCCCGAAATAAAGCGGTGTGTGTGTAAATGTGTGTGTGTGTGTGTGTGTGTGTGTGTGTGTGTGTGTGTGTGTGTGTTTGTTATTGTGTGTGTTCGTGAGTATGTATGTGAGTGTGGCTTGTGTGTGTATGTGTGTGTGT